GAATTCTTCTACCTCTAGCTGCCAGAGCCAGGCATATGAATGAGACATACCCTAGCCTTTGTTCTCTATAATATGGATATATTTGTGGCTTGAAAAGCCTCTCAATAGTTAGACAACCCCAACTCCTCCCCTTAAATTTTAGTACCTAAAAGGGCAGACATCCATAAATTCATTCAGTAGACTTTCTAACAATGCTGCAGCTTTCATTTTTCTTTTCTTTCTTTACCTTCCCCACCATGGAAATCCTTTCTAGCTTGTCACTTTATATGAATTATTGATATTATGGGCTGAGCCTGAATTTAATCTCCAATCTGCTGATCTTTCCATGCAGATAAGAGCTTGATAGCTGCTCAACCACATGCTATAGCATGTGCTTTCTTTCCATATCTTGAAATAAAATTTAAGTAATAACAAAGGCTTCCAACAATATTGTCAGTTCAGCATTCCAATGCTGGGGCTTTCCTTATCTTATTCCTTGCAATTGTGTCAACAGATAACTGTATGATCAGGACAACATATGTATAATCAGAACAAAACGTGGTTATATATTATATTTGATAATTCGATCCACAAAATAATGTCGAAAAAGTACACCGCCATTGTCTTTTACTTAAAGCTGTTCTCCGAAATAAAAGTACTAAGAAAGCAAGTAAACCCTTTTAAAGTAGACTTCGTCATTTAGTTCTAAGATAATGATTATTATAATTATAATAAAATTCTAATGAAAATTCAAACTCAACTTGGAAAATAGATACATACATTTATTATTAAGTCAAATAATAGAATGTAATATTTTTTTTTTTTTGGATTCCATGTTCAATATTGCAAGAATTTGTTAATTACAAATCACTTAACCTAGTTATGAGATTAATTAGAAAGTAAGTTACACAAATTCATTCAGGTGTAAGACTAATTTCAAGCTTAACACTTAAAACAGAAACCTTCTTTTGTGAAAATAAAAAAATGAAAAATATGAATCTTCCGAAGAAAACACATGCAATATAACTTGCAAAGTTGCACAGGCAAAGAAAATGCTGCATTAAAGTTATGCTCTATCCAATTGTTCACTCTTATTATTATTATCATCAAATTGTTTGCCTTATTATATTTTTCTCTTTGGGGTTAGTGGGGTGGCTGTAAGCTGTTTGTGTTTCGAGCTTCTGAGTTAGGAGATTGAGTGGGCACATGGGGAAGTCCGTACCGTCCGTCAAATTTGTGACACGGTGGCCGTTTCTCTAGGGAAAGGCACGTTCTCCCATGTGACCTTTGTTCCCTTAAGAAAATTCCCATTTCCCCCGAGTGGACCTTTCGATTTCGATTCTCAGGGAATCTAAAGCCGTTGATGACTGCTGGCAGTTGATCCAACTTCTGCTGCACAAGCTGTAAGCAATCAGACCGATGGCAATGGTGGGTTCAAAAAAGGAGACTACAAAAGGCAAAGTCCAATCTTTTCCATCGCCAATTCGCAACTATTTACCAATATTCTAATCCATTTTACAGGTGTTTTGCTAATGCAGGAGCCACGTGGCAGATCACTCTCAGCCATTAGTTTTGCTTTTTCCTTTTGTTAGCCACAGCCAGCCCTAGTTTCCCGTTTTGCAGAAGGTACAATTTTTCCCAAGTTCGCTAGAGTATGTAGTCATGCAAACAAATGATAGCAAGCACCCTGATCCAAATGAACCCACCTTTACGCATTCTTATTTGTTTGCAAGATGGATAAGGCCACTTTACGCTACAATTATTGCCTTTGTGAATCTTGCTTTAAAGGAAATTTGTACCATTCATTCCCAATAATAACTCTTAGATTATAAACAAAAAATGCAGACACATGATTTTCATCCACGTCGTCTCATTCAGGGTTCCTTTATAACTTGTATGTGCATATGCAAAACTGACAAGAAGGAAACATGTGTAGTAGTAGTAGTACAGGGAGCAACTTTGGGACTAGGAAATACGACAAACAGGGGCTCAACAACGTTAACCAGTTAATTGTTTACTTTCAGGTCTGGTTAAATCTCTTGATAGTGCATGGCTGCTCGTGATCCTGCATGTTCACTTTTTATGGCAAAGGCTCTACAATCTCTCAATATTCTTTAGTTAGTAATGACCTTTTTTATCCAAATAATTCCTTGTTTATTTAATCATGTTAGTTTCTTTTTCTCTGATTTAATAATAATAAATAAGAAAAAAAAACAAAAGTTTATACAGTCTTCATTGGCATGATGAAATATCTAAGGTACGATTTATAGCCAAAGGTCAAAAAACATCACATGGCCTGAGCAAGCCATGTGCCCTGCCAATCCTTTAAGTGCCGTGTATGTGTATAATTAAGTCACGAAATTGACACATCCTAAAATTTCATGTTTGCTTATCAATTAGCTAAGGCTGAACTGTGAGGAGGATCCAAATCCCATTTATAGTATAGTACTATTTCGTCTCAGACAAAAATATTTGTTGTAAAGAAGTTTATAAAAGGAAAGTATTTTTTTGCTATATGTCGTTTCTTGTTGCTGAAGGTAAGGGATCATGAGCACCCACCTTTTTCAACATGAGAAAGGAAATGAACAATCGCTTTACCCTTTATAACAGTGTCGTAAAATTCTCTTTTTTTACTTTAATGATATGCAGAATCTAAGTCTGATTTGGTTAATGATGATGAAAATTGGCAAAAGTGAGGGTTGGAAAGTGCACCATCCTCGCTTTTAAAGGCATAATTATGAATGCATATCACACAACGAATAAAGTGCAAAGGACCCAATTGTGTGTAGACTTGGATTCAAGATTTTTATTCTAATTAACCCAGTTACATTATATATATATATATATGTATATATATATATTCTAGATAATGTTACTACATACAAAATCAATATACAATCAAGAGATTGGTGGTTAATTTGGTTTGAGATTGCAAGTTCCGAACGTATACATTAAGCCAGCCATCTAGAAGAGAAACCAATAATACTCCCTCCATATTCTTTTGTCAAATTAATTTCAATTTTGACCTTCATTTTTTTAGAATATAATATGCATTAAAAATTGAAAAAAAAAAACACAAGTTTAAAAAAGTTTTAAACACAAAACTTGCTAAATTTTATAACTTTTTTTAATTATATTTGATATTCAAAAAATAAATGTCAAAGTTGTATTTATTTGACCAAAAATATCGAATATGAATAAATAAAATGGTGCAAATGAGTAAAAATAATCAAATAATCTAAAGCGGGGGAAGTCAAACCAGTCCTAATGATTGGCTCATGTGGTAGTTTGTGAAACTAATAATAGTACTAGCAAACATTCCTATATTTTAGTGCTTTAATTTTTGCCTAAAACTTCAAATTAATATTGGAATAAAAAAGGTTCATTGTATCATATAGAGCCTTTAACTTGCATCATGATTATATGGACTCTGTTCAATCCGCAGGATTACAGCCTTGCTTAAATACACTATAGGAGGAAATCCCACATGAATAAAGTGGTTAGATAATATAATATTTATAATCGACAGAGACATTGGTCTTGAATCTTGATGATGATAATGGAAGCGGATGGGGACGGCCAAGGATTGGGAAGGGGGAAAACACAAGGCAATGGGACAGTGATTACCATTTGCAAATGCAAATGCAGAAACACTTTGATTTGCCTAAAATGAAATTACAAACGAGGGCTTGTAACTCTGAAACATAGACGGAGTGAAAGCAACAATTACAAGAACATCCCAGTCATTGGAGAGAGCCTTACCCACAGGCCACAAGTGCCTACTGGCGATCAAGCCCTCGCCTGCTGGAGGCTTGGCTAGGGGTTGGTCCATGGGGAATGGCCTATATTGCTATCGGCCCAAAATTAATCCGGGCTGCTGTATGTTTTTAATTTTTCATAATATGATCGGAAGTATCTTTGAATTTCATTTAATTTAATAATCTCCTCTGACAATTTAGAGAGTGAAGTCCACTCTCTCACATCTATTTAATGCATTTAAAATATTTTTATGTAAAAAATTTCCCGAAGGGTGGTCGTATGTGTAGCATAGATGAAACCTTGAAAAGAAAAATGAAAGCCCAGGCTATGGGCAACATCACCAAGCTCAGTTCAGAGATCAGAGCCAATTGTCCACATCAATGTTCCCGTTCGGCTTTATGTCACACCAACACATCAAACAAGATAATGGGTAACGGATTATAATTATTTCATCACAAACATGCAAGGCTGAGCTTGGGTGCAGTTTAGTTTGGTTTGGCTTGAAGAGAAAATTCACAACAAAAGAATAATTTGGGTTATCATATTTCTATGGCCAAATCAATTCATAAAATAATAGTTGCTAGAATGAAGTGTTCAAGTTTGAAAAACAATACTAAATCAATTCCTAAAATGACATGACAAAATGTAGACTTCGGAAAAGTTTCATGGTTGATTGTTGCTGCGAGGGAGTGTGGCCACCAAGAGCAGGAATGGGTGCTAATGAGGGCCCATTGCCGAGGATGGTTATTAATGAATGATCGATGGCAAGGCAAAGGGTATGATGTGGAGAAGAGGGGAATGCTCATATTTTATTTCCCAAAGGTGACAGTGAGCCTATCAAATCAAAATCATAACTTCAATTTTGATTTTAAGCTCAAATTTAATTCCATAAACTACAAAACAAAATCCCCATAAGTTAGTTTTACACAAATATACGAAGCCAAAAACATAGGGTTCCCAGCGTACCAGTCGGCTGAATTTTTGTGTAACATCCTTGAGCATGGGAGAAGGATAAAATGACTTTTGACATATTTAAAAAAAAAAACCTTAAAATTGTATTTTTTTAACAAAATAGAGTATAATTATATTAAGTGTGGCATATTAGTTTATTTATAAATTTGTTTGTTATAATTGGTCCTTATTGCTTAGTATTTCTTAACAATAATAGTAACAACAACAACAAAAGGACGTTGGGCCAATACTAACCTTGTTGTTTTGGTAGTGAAAATCACATGCCCAGTGATTATTCTCAACTTACCATATAAAAGAGAAACCCTTTCCATGATTTTGCCACAGACCAGACCCTCCGGGAAGAAAAGGGAGGTGGTATAACACTTCATTAGCCCTGTGGAAGTTGGTGTCCCCTCACTGTGGGTCTGAGACTGATCCAATGTCCCTTGGGCCATCCACTGAACCAGTTGAGTATCAGTGAATTTAAGAATGCAATTTTAACACAAGTAATCAATGAACCTTAACAGAAGTTTCAACTATTAACAACTTAAGCCCTATGTGCTAACCATTTTCTTAGGAAACTGATCTTGAACCATTTGCTTGGGCCCTTGCTACCTAACTTAAATCTTCACAATTCTTTGGTTTGTTTCTATTTACAAAATAAACATGGAAATCTAAACACCAAATGCAATGTGTGGTTTGATAAGCTAATGGATGACATGGTGTAAGAGATGAGGGGGAAACCACTGAATTCCTAATTGAGATCAATATCAACCCGCTCAGGGTTTCCCCTTTCTGTCTGATTGTTAACTAGCTCTATGCCTAGCTGACCTTTGTCTCCTGCACCAAATGCATAAAGCTTCCCTGATTCAGTGAGTGCAAATGTATGGGCATTCCAGTATATTGAGTTTGTAAGGCTGATCTGTACCACCCGTTCATTCACTTGCTTCAATGACGTCACCAGTTCTGGGCTCAACACATTAGCATGCCTATTCCCCTGCCAGATAAGCAATAAACCAAAATGTTGATAGTTACTCAATGAATTGATACCCCTTTCTTTCCCATGTTCAAGGGCAACATATATAATATCGTGTCCAATTAAAAATAGGATATGCATTACAGACAATTGCTGTTCTTCAAGGGCAACTTGGCATAATTGATAAATACACATCAGATGCTGTGGTTTCACTGCATTACTACATTTTTTTTTTTTTATAATTGGGGAGGGGGGTTTCGAATCCTGCTCTATAGGCAGGAGGATAATGCACCAACCAATGAGCCAAATGCTCGGGTGCCACTGCATTACTACATTTGAAATCAATAGCTTTCTCGAACGTGACCCCTCAAAAACAAGGTAAAAGAGAGAAAAATTGTATATCATAATGGTGTGTTTATTTAAGCAATTGGAAACAAAACAGTTAACAATCAATGCCATCTCAAAAAAAAAAAGAGAAAAGCTTCTCTACAAGGTAAATCATAAATGCCCTCAAACAGAGGCATATGCAGCATATTATAAGGAAAACCAGAGAAAATGTGTTGCATCTTTGAAACTAATCTTAATGGTTGATATCCTGTTCCTTTCAAAAAATATTTCAAAAATCTTCCAATGTGCATTTTATATTAGAAAATAGTGAAATAGTATGAAATAATGATCAGGTTTGAGGCTTAATCTGAGCTCAAGCATCCTGCATATCTTTTATTTGAAAATTCAGGAAAGGAAATTAGGCAGAACCTTCCATAAAACCAAATAAGGGCAAAGTTAATCACAACAGAAAGTTATAAGGGAAGGGAAAGTCAAACCTGTCCTTCAGCAACAGTATTATGTCCTAGGCTAGCGGATTCCCCACAACCAAAAGAGTATACATCACCATCATCAGATACCACAAAAGTTGTGTAGTCCCCTGTAGCAACATGAACTGCTTTGACCTTGCCCAATGCTTCCACCACCTTAGGAACTGATTCACACTCTTCATTTCCATGACCTAAACACCCATAACGTCCCCAACCCCATGTGCAAACCCGACCATCTCGACCTACAACAGCAGCATGCCAAGCACCAGCAGCAACCACCATTGGCTGAAGGTTCAAAAGCTGAAATTGTTCAATTAATCGAGGGTGCTTTTCATCAGTTCTTGAGCCATGCCCGAGCTTCCCACCCAAGCCACAACCAACAGAGTACACTGACCTAATGATTCCATAAGAACAGCACACCACTAAGTAACAATTCCAATAACTCATTCAACTATTCAATATTTGACATGTTGCTATATATGAAACAACAGGATAGATGGACTTTGAGATTCTGAAAAAAAAAATCCTATACTATTACGATTATACAGGACCATCATTCATTATTTCAAAGATTTGTAATGGTAAGTCATGATAACTTTTCTGAGAGCTAATTCAGATGAGGTTTTTTCTAAAATGGGGCAGGAAACATAAGTACGCTGGTTGATCAAGAAATTTTCTACAATCTTAGGTAACTTAATCACATGCCCTCTAATGTGAAGACGTTTTAAAGATTGTCGTATGATAATCAAGAACAGTTTAGATGCCAGTTTAAAAATGATTTAAGGGCTTTCTTAAAAGGAATTCAGAAGAACTAACATGCCACTCGGTTGACAAGCTAGGCAAAGGAGGTAGCAGTATCCAGCTGCAATTTGCACTACTGGTATGTTCTCTAGTGCCCCCAATAGGGGCTGGGGCTCCACATCATTTGGCTCAGTTTGGTGACCAAGCTTGCTATCTTTGCCCCAAGAGAATGTGTAAACTCTGCCCTCTCTGGATAACACAGCAGTGAAAAAGTTTCCAATTGCAGCTTGCACCACAAATATGTCTTTCAAAGACTCAACAGGCTGCGGAGTTGTAACTAGCTTAGTTCCTTGAACCCCATATTCTGCTTCGCCAAAGGAATCCTTTCCAAAGGCATAAACTCTCCCAGCATCACTAATCAGCATTGTCCTGCCAGCCCCAGCAGCTGCTTGGATGATTCGAATGCCTTGCAGAGATCTACAACATAATGGAGCTCGATTAACTCTTCACATTTACAATTTTACAGTGTCAGGCATACATAGTGATAAAAATATTGGCAACCTTATTTGCCGAGGCCGCCATTCTTCTTCAGTAGTGCCATGACCTAACTGTCCTGAGCTATTAGAGCCAAATGAGTAAACTACTCCTGTTGATGTCACAGCAATGCTGTGACCAGGCCCTGCAATTGCCTGTGATTTCTCCCTCCTGCAACATGCTTCCCCAGCCAGCAGAAACCTCAGGACCAATTTCCACGATCCCCCACATCTTTGCTTCAAACTTTGACGTTCTTCGTCAGTCATTGGCTTAAATATAGCTCTTTTTTGGCACATGTCAAGAGCAGCAAGCTCCGATATGGATAATTCATAATCTGGGGCAAAGTTTGCTGGCTGCCTAAAGAAGGAGCATGTTGCCTGGAACACATGTTTACAAAATCAAATCAGCCAGCATTATCAATTCTAACATTTAAAAGGAGCTTCATTTTCAGAAAGTCAACGAAAAATCCACTTGCCTCTAGTTTTGCAAGATCTTGAGGATCCAAATTACAGGCAGTAAGGACATGAAGAACAATGGAAGGATTAGCAGCCAAAGGGAATTCTCCAGGAGTGGAGTCCCCAAAGCAATGACGTACTTGTCGCTGAAATGTGGGTACAGAAGCAGCAACAATAGCAGTAATTGGTTGATCAGGTATGTTATGGTATTGTATAGTTGGGGTTCCGCTTGCTGTGGCATCCATGGGCACTGCCCAAGTTTTGCAGTGCCCAAACTTGGCAAACGAGAAGATCTAAATTTCTGACAATTAGGAAACATTGGGTACAATAATCACTAAAAAACCCTCCAATTATCCAAACTACCTCCTAATACTAAAAGCTTTGTTGACTTCAATCTAGAAGTGCCAAAATATCTACCTTAAATAATGGATTGATCAGCAAACTTCAAATCTCAAACCTACAATAGAAAACGAAAAAAGATTCTCATAAAAACTCCTCATATCACAACAAGAGAAAAGAAAAACATTTTACACCACAAACTATGTGATCATTTCACAAATCACAAACCAAAGGTGTATCTTTTAAACCACGTGAGCAACGTTATCCAATAGGAGAGGCTCAGATGATCAAAGCGAAAAGCCCGATCATTCAATGATTGGCCAAAGCCAACAAAATATAGACCAGGTTGGATGATCCAAATTGTGACCGGCGAGCCAAAATGGCCAAGCACAGAGACAAGAAAACCGCAAAAACAGTGGCAGAAGAGCTTGTAGAAATGATCAAAAGCACAAAAGTCTAAACCACGAAATTTAAGGAGAAAAAACACCGAAGGAAGAAAACTTTGAAGAGAAGAATACTAAGTCCTCCATGAAAAGCATATTCCACACTCAAAAGAAAACCCAGAAAAGCAAAGAATTCCCACATAAGAAGGAGACACTCCTGTTCACGTAAACTCACTAAACAAAAAGGTCAGATTGATCATTGACCTGATCAAATATCAACCAGGAAAGCAAAATCAACATCCACCGTTCAGAAAACAGGGGATATAAAAAAAGAATCCTTCTTTTTGAGAAACCCAGGTCATCAAAACCATCAGATAATCAAAATTGAAAAAAGTACACTCGATCACGTAACCGTCAGAAGCAGAGAATCCAAAGAATAAAAAAACAGAGCAGAATCACATATTTAATACTACGTTTTTTCTTATGGTAATTCTATAATATGATCATTACAGATCAAGCCAGAATAATATAGAGATGAAAATTTACATATCAGAAAGACCCATGATTCCTGAAAACCCATCTGCATCTGTCAATAATTGAAGAGAATTACCAAATTTTTTCAGCCCAAAAATAAGAAAACTGCAAAATTTAGATCAAATTGAAGAACAGGGAAGTGGGTATATTTAATCAGAGTCTCTACTCTGTTTTATCTAAAGGGTCTTGAAAAATAGATTGTGATTGGGATTTCAGAGAGGGTAAAAGAAAAGGCAGAGATTTTTTTTTTTTGTGTTAGCTTTGTTAGCTTTATTGGTGTGTTAATTTTCCAAGGAAGAGGTGAGAGTTTCTCTTCTTCTCAATAGCTAATACGTTTTTTAAAGCGATGAGGTGCCCTTCAGGCTGTACACTACACCCAATAAATTTATACTAGTAGACTTCCTGAGACAAGTTTTACACGTCAGCTTCCTCTAAACTATGGTAACTGACTTACCACAACCTCTGGTTCAACGAAATCTGAGGGGGTAAAATATTTTCCCTCAAAGATGATAAGAGAAGAGAGGTGGGTGAATAAAAATAGAAGACCCCTTTTTTCTTCTTTTGCTGTTACCGTGGAGTTCCCACAAAGCTTTGGAATTTAGACAAGTTACAGCATTCCGGATTCACTCGCAATTTTCACTTCACAACACAAATAAAATCCTCATTGAGTCTAGTGATTTCAAGATCATTCAACTGTTTACTTTTAGATGATTTGAATTTAACATTTGCATGTTGAAGAAAGTCCAAGCCAAATATGTCAGTATCAATTTGGTTGGGGTATATGTCAGTAGCATATACATATATCAAGTCGGCGTTTTTGTTCTTTAGATGGGACTTGCTAGCTATATAAGCACCAGCAGGGAAAATCAGGGTTTCCTTTAAGCCACTAGATTTTGCGGCAGAAAAAATGAGTAATGGTCAGCTTCCTTTTTTTTTTTTTTTTTGTGTTTTTTTCGCGAAGAAACCAAGTCCCAATCAGGGTAAGCTAGACGTGTGAACCAAGGAGCTAGCTTCATTGGCCTTTGTGAAATCTACGAAACATAAGGGTGAGAAGGGTCCACAGCCCACATGTACCAGACACAGACTGGCGAGGTTTCTTCATTTGCACCTTTGCAAGAAATTCATGTTGGATTTGCAATCAGTAGAACCAACTATCAGATAACATGCATGTAAGTTTGGTGATCTGATTAGAGATATAAGGCGTATTTCATTTGCATGCTGTAGCTTATACTAATACATCGAGAATTCCCCTATCCAAATCCACGGGGTGCTAATAGGTTCATTTAGATTTCAATATATGCCTTGATTCAATTAATTTCCATGAAAGAGTATGATATAGGCTCAGCTGAGCTTTTTAAGTATGTATATATGTAAACGTTATAAACAATCACAACATGCTAAATTGCTAACCAAAAGCTAGTAGTATTAACATGTAATTTATCATTCAAAAGCATAAGTTGGAGAATAGACAGCCTCTATTGTCCTCAGCTCTTAACTTCCAAGAGAGAGAGAGAGAAGAAAGACAGGGAGACGGAGATGAAGAATTATGGAGGAGCGAGTGATAGGAACAGAGTGACTTTATACACAAAGCAGATAAAACTTGAATTAACCTTGTTCTAAGAGTTAAACCCTTGTCCAGCAGGAACTCCTCCTTAATGCCGAGCTTTCTTTACATTTTGAACCAGGTCGAAGGCTCAACTCAAATGTTGTAATCACAGTCACAATTCTATGGCTCCAAACAAGTTTATTTATCAAGTCCAAAAGCTTTTCTTCCTCCCTGGCTTTAGTTTGAGAAAATATTTTTCATAATATTAATGGAGAATTGAAACACGAATCTTACCTTAACCATAGACAATGGAGGTTTATAGGGAGGGAGAAAACTATCACCAACAGTCTAAGGTTTCCCATATATCGGTCGATGCTGGCTGCAAGGCTTTTCTGCATTAATATTTGCTTTGTCTTTGCAAACACAAGAAATGGATTAGCTACACTACTTCAGTACTGCCAGCCAGGTTTTCTAGTTTCTATACTTGGCAGGTGTCCACTATGACTAGAAAGTTAAAAACAATATAAATTTTATATAAAGAAAAAATACTTTAGAGAAGTAACGTAAAGGTTTTGAGAACATAAATCTTTTTATGTGGTGCCCTTAAATTACGAAATGCGAACACTACTTAGTCAATGATTGCTAATGATTTTGGCAGTAAAAACGTTCACATAAATGAAGCAAGTAGGATGAAGAAGCAAACACATGATTCAGTTGAAAAGAAAAAAAAAGAAAAAAGAAAAAGAACCCTAAACTTGGTAAAGAGTTGGACGCCAATTTGGTTTTAGATATATATATATATATATATATATATGTATAATAGTACAATAATCATAAATATAATTTTTATTTTAAAAAAAGAAAAATTCAAACCTGATTATTTGAGTAAAGGGATATTCATTCAAGTATTCATATTATCTATAATTTATAATATCTTTATAAGAGTATGGATATTGAGAACATTGCATAAAATTTATTCAATTTGTAAATAAAAATTTTAATTATATTAGATGACTTTTATTGAATTCTAAATTCGAATAATAATAATAATTTATTATAATACATAAATAATTAAGTATAATATTTGTCTGATACTAAAAAATCTTTTTTTTTTGGAGATGTATTAAAAATTGATTTTATGTAAAAGGTAAAGTTGATAGAGAAAAGGGCCACTCTAATATAGAGTTAGACTGCTAGACAGCTAAGAGTAAGAGTTATGATTCTAATCAAATTCAATTATTATTGACGTTATTTATTTTTTCTTTTAATCTTTAAACTTAAAGCAAAATAAATTCTCAACGTGGCAAGAACATTTCTCCATGACAAAAAAACACAAGACAAATACTTTCTTTTGTGTGTATGTTTACAAGTTATGGGACATTTGCACTGTTAATGAGCTTGCACCTTCTAACAAATTGGGGAAAATGGAAGTTATGATTCTTAAACTTAGAACCATAAATTAAATTTTGTTAGTGGAACGAAATTAATTAGTAAATATATCTATATATAAGAAAATAATATTTTATTCATGTGATTTTTTATGAAATTTTTATCATTTTACATGATTAATTATTTTCTGTTTTATGATTCTATTTTCTTTTACCAAGCATATAATTTTCTTAAGTTTATATTAACTTATTAGATCTTATATACTTTGATATAATCTTCATATATATATATATATATTGTATAAAAAATATAACGATAGCGTATTCATCTTATAATGTATGTGATTATATACTATTAATTACTGATAAACATGTGTCAATTGCATAAATCCGTTTGTAAAATTTAAAACTTTTACCTTATACATACATAATAATATAATTGTGACAAGAACTTATTAATTGTAAAAATTTAAAAGTTGTTATGAAATATAATTTTGAAAGAAAAAATATTAGAAAGAAATAGTAAGAAGGTAAAAACATTTTCTATTTTATTTCTTTTTAAGTGTGTATATCATCAACTATGATGCCTCTATTTATAGGCTTACATAAATGGAGAAGAATAAATTTACATAAATAGAGATGATGAATTTGATATACAAAGATGTACATATACTAAATGGATCTAAAAGATAGAGATGTACTTATATAAATATGTACATTAAATATGAATAGGTTCATTGGATATGATGAAATATAATGAATATTCACATATGTTCATAATATTCCTCTTGAATGTCCATTGTGTTAAGAATATATCTCATTAAAATTTATTAAAAAAAAACCTCATGAGAAAAAAATCCTAATGAAGGAAAACGAATTCATAATTCTTTTCAAATATACATTTTGAAGTACTATCTCATTAAAACCCTCAACAAAAAAAATCCAATGACAAAAAAAACTCGATGAAGGAAAAAAAAAGTACAATGCATATCTTACTCCCTCTAGTGACTATATTATTTGAGATATTTTTCAACTTTTCAAATGTTGTAGTAGGAAGAGCTTTGGTGAATAAATTTGCTAAATTGTCATTTGAATGAATCTTAGATGTATCTTTCCTTCAACTGAGCTATAAAAGCAATATCCTCATATAACGTTGTTAGATTTTTCCTTTTGATAGATAAACCATACGATCCTCGAATATATTGAATGACAGATCTTAACCAAACACAGTCATGACTTACGCCATGAATTGCTAAAACTTTTGCATGGTTAGAAGAAGTAACAACCATAGTTTATTTTATAAAACGTCACAAACATAAATAGTAATTATGACAAATTCAGATCTGAATTTTTTTATAAAAACATATGGACATATAAGATTATTTTTATAGCCTTTTTTCAACAAATATTCACTAAGACAATTATACCACATGCATCCGGATTGCTTTAAGCCATATACATATTTATTTAATTTGATTGAATAAATTTCTCGAGAATTGTGTATATGCTTCAAGAAATTTAAATCCTTCAAGGATTTTTATATAAATATCGATATCAAATGAGCCACATAAATAGGCTATAGCTACATTCATTAGATGCATTTCAATCTTTTCATTTATTGCCAAAGTAGTTAATATTGTAATTGCATCCACCCCAAGAGAATATATCTCTTCATATTTAATACCAAGTCCTTGGGTAAAACCTTATGCGACAAGTTGTATTTTATATTTTATAATCTTAAATTTTTTTATATGCACACAAAAGTCTATTTATATCTCATTGATTTTATACTATTTGGTGTACGGACTATAGGTCCAAAAACTTTATGTTTTACAAGTGAATTCAATTCCACCTTAATTTCATCTTTTCACATTGGTCAATCATTTCTATTTTTACATTCTTCAATATATATAAGTTTAAGATCCTCATTTTTTTTTCCACAATATTGAGCATTACATTATATGCAAAAATATCATCGATGATTATTTCATTCCAATTCTATCATTTCTCATTATGACTTAATTGATTAAGATCTCTTCATTTTCAATGATTTCAAGTACC